CTAAAACACTTTTGCTCCTGTGTTTTGCTGGGCTTTGCTTTTTTTCCTGCGCTTTACTCTCGCGCTTGTCCTTTTCTTTTTTTCTGAATGAATCAGATGACGGAGACACTTCAGTAATCACACACATATTATTATCATCAGCTCAAGAAGTTTGTTATATCAAATATAGACGCGATCGCATGCTCCCAGAAAAAAAAGCGAATACCACTCGTACTTTTAGACGGGCTCGTAAAGCGACAACAGGATACGGCAGATTTTGTTCTTCTTAGCTTTGTGTCTGTTCATCAAGACGACGACAAGGTTTGTTTGAGCTCGGGTCATCCATTGCTCGTTATTAAATGCATGTAGTATATCCATGTAATCTCTCGGCTGTGGATTAGAACATGGCGGTTCCTTTGTTTACATTCTGTCTAGCTCCATAAGCTCGTGACGTATCTCTTTAACCAATCAGCGTTCAACTGCGCGTGTAGCTCCATCTTTTGGGACCCTTTCTCGTTTTTGATACCCTTTCGAAAGGGTGCCGAAAAAGTGGTACGGTTTGGTTCGGTATGCTTATTGACAGTGGAAATGGCCATAAAAGTGTACCAAACCGAACCGTACAGTACTGTAGCACGCAGTGGAAACAGGCCAAAAAAGCCTCAAAAGTACATTTTGTTGTCTAACAACAGTAAAATGTGACAAACTGTCGTGTCTCTGCTTGTTGCTGGCCGTATGTGGGTGGAGTAATACACAGTGAAGGGTGAAGGCTATCAGCCAAACAGATTCAAGAAATCAGACAGAACTGTTGTATAAGTGTGTGTGTGTGTGTGTGTATGTGTGTGTGTGTGTGTGTGTGAGTGTGTGTGTGTGTGTGTGTGTGCAGTATATATATATATATATATATATATATATATATGTGTATATATATATATATATATATATATATATATATATATATATATACACACACACACACACAGTTGAAGAAGTCAGAATTATTAACCCCCCTAAATTATTACCTCCGTTTGTTTATTTTTTTTCCCCAATTTCTGTTTAACGTAGAGCAGATTTTTTTTCCAACACATTTCTGCACATAATAGTTTTAATAACTCATTTCTAATAACTTTTTTTTTGTCATGATGACAGTAAATAATATTAGACTAGGTATTCTTCAAGACACTTCTATACAGCTTAAAGTGACATTTAAAGGCTTCACTACGGTAATTAGGTTAATTAGGCAGGTTAGGGTAAATAGGCGTGTAATTGTATAATGATGGTATGATCTGTAGACTATCGAGAAGAAAGATAGCTAAAAGGGGCTAACAATTTTGACCTTAAAATGGTGTTTAAAAATTAATGACAGCTTTTATTCTGGCCGAAATAAAACAAATAAGACTTTCCCCAGAAGAAAAAATATTGTCAGACATACTGTGAAAATTTCTTTGCTCTGTTAAACATCATTAGAGAAATAAAAAAAATAAAATAAAAATCAAAGGGGGGCGAATAATTCTGACTTCAACTGTATATATGCATATTCCATGCACTTTTGCACACTGCTCATTGCAGTATTTTCTAACAGCTAAAGTCATGTTTTTATGATAATGCTGTTTATATGCTCTTGTAAAACTCACACTAGTGTGGAATAAATAATACAAAAGTCAAAAGTTGGTCTTACAGTCTTTGCATAAATAGTTTTTGGACATTTCTCTGACTGTACTTGACATATACAGTATTATATAGATGACACAAGGTTATATATACACAGACAATAGAATAGAAAATGCTCTGTTTTTACAAATGATAGTATACTTGTGTGTTTAGCGAATAAACTAATGTATTTACTGTAAAGTACTGATGACATTTCTTCCGTATTTAAAATACAACATTGTCATTTAAAGATTATTATTATTATTTGCACACAATAACAAAATGTTGCCTTGACCGTATCAATGTTTACACAAAAACCAATGTTCTACACAAAATGTTAAGAAATTAATTTTGAGTAGAATAAATGTCAGGGCTCAACAATAAGGACTGCCCAGTGGCCCCTATCGGCCAGTAAAGCCTGGTTTATACTTCTGCGTCAAGTGACCGGCGTAACTCACGGCGCAGGCAATGCACGTAGCTGTGCATTTATACGTCTGCGCTGTCTCTGTTGGTCTGCATTAACCCTTCCGAAACGCTAGTTGGCAGTGAGGTGTTAATATTCCTCTGTGTCAAGTTTCGTCTCTGCTATTTTGCTTTTCCTGAACACTTCCTGTTCGTACAAGTGACTCAAACTCGCTCATTTTGAGGCAGGAACCGGCGGACGAGCAACAACTTTAACTATGAGGTAAACACAAAACAAAACTTTCCATCCGGAGCTCCTTCACGGGACTCCACACTTGTAAACAATCGCTCATGCCATTCGCGCGGCTCTCGGTCCCGCCCAGACTCGTCAGCGCTACCAAGCCGACCAATCACAGAGCTTACGCTACGCGTCGTTGCGACGTGTAGTTAAATTTTTTGAGAGGTGCACGTCAGCGACACCGACGGCCACAGCGAAGGGCTATGCATATGTATGCCGTAGCATACATCGGCGTTTGACGCAGAAGTATAAATCAGCCTTAACGATGAGCATGTTATTATTTTTTTCGTAACCTGGTAACAACCAGTACAACGAAAAGATGGCAACATTTCGGCAACATCAAACTATTAGACTAAAAGAAATGGTCTGTTTCTGAAGTCTTGGAAGCAGAAAATTACATGGGTACAAACTTAAGAATCTGGGAAGAAAAAGAAAAAAAAAAGAGTTGCGATAATTTAGAATTGCAATAAAATAGTTCGTTTAAATATATTCGTTTAAATAAAGTACAAACGTGCTCTAAAAAGTGCTCTAGTGCGTGTGTGACAATGAATGATGGATTATATGCTGTTGGTGGTAGATGTTGAGGTATGGGTCAATATTAATAATCCTATTTAATTGTGTCAGCACAAGAGAGTCAGGAGAAGTACGACAGCAGAGACGTGGAGAAGCTGTTTCGTGACGACGCTCTGGTGGAGGGATACCTGACCTGGAGACACTTCATAGTGGAGGACACCTTAAAGATGATCGACGAGAGCCTGCAGTGGAGGAGAGAGTTCAGCGTCAACGGTCAGTGTGTGTGTGTGCGTGTGCATGTCTGTGTAATGTATGTGTGGCTGTGTGTGTGCTTTGAGTGTGTGCCTATGTGTGTTTGTTTGTTTTACTGTTTATCTGTTGAGATGTATGTTTCTGCCTGGCTGTGTATGTTTGGCTGTGTGTGTGTACGCGCGCATGTGTGTGCGTTTATTTGTCTGAGAGTGTGTCTGTGTTTGAATGTGTGTTTGTGTGTAACTGTGTTTGTTTGAATGTTGTGCGTGTGTCTGCCTGTCTGTGTGGGTGTGTGAAGGAGTGTGTGTGTTGGTTTTGTGTGTGTGTGTGTGTGTGTCTGTTTGGCTGGCTGTGTGTGTGTGTGTAACTGTGTTTGAGGTTGTTTGCATGTTTGAGTGTGTCTGCTTGTCTTTGTGGGTGTGTGAAGGAGTGTGTGTGCATTGGTTTTGTGTGTGTGTGTGTGTCTGTTTGGCTGGCTGTGTGTGTGTGCGTAACTGTGTTTGAGGTTGTTTGCATGTTTGAGTGTGTGTGTCTGTCTGGCTGTGTGTGTGTGTGTTTGATTGAGTGTATGTGGCTGTAAGTATGTGTGGGTGTGTTTTTATGCATATAATGTATGTGTGACAGTGTGTGTGGCTGTGAGTTTTTGTTTGAGTGTATTTGTGTATGTTTGGCTGTGTGTATGTGTGTGTGTGTGTGTGTGTGTGTGTGTGTGTGTGTGTTTGTCTGAGTGTGTGTTTGCCTGTAACTGTGGTTAATTGAGTTTGTGTGTGTGTTTTTGCATGTGTGTGTGTCTGTTGTGTGTGTATTTGAGTGTTGCTGTGTGTTTGTTTTGTGTGTGGCTGTTTGTTGGAGTGTTTGTCTGTCTGTGTGGGTGTGTTAGAGATTGTGTGTTTGCATGTGCGTTGGTTGACTGGGTGTGTGTGTGAGAGAGAGAGAGTGTGTGAGAGTGTCATTCATTCATTTATTTATTCATTCATTCATTCATTCATTCATTTTCTTTAATCTGGGGTTGCCACAACGGAATAAACCGGCAACTTATCCATCCTTCCAGCCGCAACCCATCTCTGGAAAACATCCACACATACACTCACACAAACTCATACACTACGGACAATTTAGCCTACCCAATGCACCTGTACCGCATGTCTTTGGACTGTGGGGGAAACCGGAGCACCCGGAGGAAACCCACGCGAAGGCAGGGAGAACATGCAAACTCCACACAGAAACACCAACTGAGCCGAGGATCGAACCAGCGACCTTCTTGCTGTGAGGTGAACGTGCTACCCACTGCGCCACTGCGTCGCCTGTGTGAGAGTGCGTTTGTATGACATGTATGTATGGCTGTTTGATTGCGAGTGTCTGTATGTTTGTCTATCTGTCAGTCTGGGTTTGTGCATTTAAGTGTGTGTGTGTGTGTGTGTGTGTGTGTGTGTGTGTGTGTGTGTGTGTGTGTGTGTGTCTGTCTGTATGTGCCTATCTGTGTGTTATGGCCCGTTTCCACTGAGTGGTACCAAACCGTACCGTACCACTTTTTCGGGACCCTTTAGAAAGTGCAGAAAGGGTCCCAAAAGGTGGAGCTAGACGCGCAGCTGAACGCTATTGGTTTACAGAGATGCGTCATTCGTAAACTCAACAAGCCAGAATGTAAACAAAGGACCCGCCATGTTTGAAATGCACAGCGAGAGATTACAGCGGAATTATAAATACATATGCAGCCATGGTCGATCCTGCAAACAAACCCTGTCGTCGTCATGATAAACAGCCACAAAGCCATGGAGAAGAGCAGATTCACCCTGTGCCGCGTAGTTTTTAACGAGCCAGTCTGAAGCCAGAGTGGTTTTGCTTTCTTTCTTGTGCTCGCCGCGCGTCTCTATCTAAAATAACTAACTTCTTGAGCTGATGATAATAACGTGCGCTTGATTATTGACAAGCTTTGGAAACCCGATCCTGTGAGAAGCTGACAAACGCGAGAGAAAGAAAAGGACAATCGCGAGAGTGGAGCGCGAAAAAAAAGGCAAAGCCAAGGAGCACGCTATTTCTTCAGCAAACGTGAACAAACTGCGTTGTTTTAATCTTTATTATCACCTTTTGGACTAATATGAACTGGGGATGATGGAATGACTCTCTAACAGAGGCTTCATGTGCTGCTGAAGATTACAGACACAGATGAGAGGTTTACTCTGACTGTAGGCTATACTTTGTGTTGTTTTGAGCCTAATTAACGACGAAATGTCGGCTTTGTGTAGTTCTTCTGTAGTTGGTAACATATCAGAGACTGTAAGGGTCTGTATGTGTTCATATATGCTCATTTATTAATTTATTTAATATAATTACAGACGTTACAGTCGGCTATTTCACACTGTCATTGATCTGCAGTTATAATCAACTCATGTTTATAGAAAAGTTAGTAATAAGCATTTATACAGAAGTATTTATGTGTGTAAAGCGTCTGTTTTGTGAGAAGTGCTTTTCATATGACCTGTGCAGCTTTATTGTAGACATTTTCACAAGCGAAAATGACGTCGACTGAAACTTTGTCATACACCATGCCCACCACAAGGGTACCCTTGGTAGTGGAAACGCAAGCCTGATAAAGGCGACCCGAACCGTACCGTACTGTACCAGTCAGTGGAAACGAGCCATTAATGTGTTGAACCTAAAGAGAATGAAGCCGTGTGCTCTTTACAAAACAGTTCAGAGATTGTGACGAGCTGAGGAATGGATGAATGTGGAGAAACCGACGCTGACTACAAATATCAGATCATAAACCACCGTTATCAAACCGTAGTGGAAAATGAAACCAGGCACTAGTTTCTGTGGTGGAGGGCATGTGTGAGTGAGTGTGTGAGACTCAATGAGTCTTTAGTTCTTTTTTTCTGCTGTTAAAATGGTACTGAGTTCTCCAGTCCTCTGTGAAGACCTCGTGTGTGTGTGTGTGTGTGTGTGTGTGTGTGTGTGTGTGACCCTGAATGAATGAATGTTTGAGACGTTAGTGTGTGTGTGATGTTGTTTCCCAGAAGCAGCTGAAATGAGGAAGTGTCTCACATGTGTGTCAGTTGCTCTGGTGTGAGAAAGAAAGAAGTTCTGGCTCAAACACACCAAAAGAAGGAAAGTGGAGCTCATTTATGGCCACTTTTCATTACAGTGTCTGACCCCAACATAGATTTCATGAACAGGAGACTCTTATTATTATTAAAAATTGTGTTTACATTTTGTTTAAAGAAGTAATTTCTACAGATGTTAAGTGAAACGGTTATCTTAACTAAAATTCTGCTGTTATATTACTCTATTTGTTTACATTTACTAAGCTTTTATATGAATTCTTTTGCACTATTAAAATTATTAACCCCCCAGATTGACCATTTTTTTAATATTGACATTTGTTTAACTTTTGCAATTCTTTTTTTTATATTGTCAGTATTTTATTATTAAAACTATTAACTTTTAATTGTATAATCAAGCATTTAAATAATTATAAAATAAGAAAACACTTTTATATTTTAGTATTACATTCTAAAAAATATTTTTCTATGTTTAAAAATAAGTTATTTAGTATTTTGTGTGGAATTTAACATTGATTTCCGTTGCATTTTAACAATATTAATTAAAAATTATAGATAAAACGCATAAAAATGCAACTCTTTATTGCATGAATTCATTTTCTTTCAGCTTAGTCCCTTTTTTCATCAGGGATCACCACAGCGGAATGAACCGCCAAGTATTTCAGTATATGTTTTACACATTATTGCCCTTCCAGCTGCTACCCAGTACTGGGAAACACCCATACACACTCGTACACTACAGCCAAATTAGTTCCATTTAGTTCATGCGCATGTGTTTGGACTGTGCAAAAAACCCACGCCAACCCAGGGAGAACATGCAAACTCCACACAGATACTGAGTGTTTGAGCACAATCCTCCTCTTATCCTTAAAAGCTTCAGCCTCTGCCGATCTTGAATTTCCAGCTAAAGGAACCGTGTTGATTTGTTGTTATCAGATGTACTGTGTGGAGCTGATGGTGTTGTGCTGATTATTCCGGCAGAGAATGTGCTGAATGTGTGCTGTTTCATGTTATTTTTGTGTTCAGATCTGACGGAGAGCAGCATTCCCCGCTGGATGTTTGAGATCGGTGCCGTTTACCTGCACGGATACGACAAAGAAGGAAACAAACTCTGTAAGACTTCATTTGGCATCTTAAATCTGCAGTTTAATTGGGGCTGTGCGATATGGGCAAGAGAAACCTATCACGGTTTACCAGAACAATATTGCGATTCCGATTTTAATCAGGATTTTGTTACAGACAAACTGAGTCTGTGTTTACAGTGTGATTCAGAAACCTATTTAGGGAAGTTTGAGTCCAACAATTAGATATGCATCAAAGAGCTGTAACATGTCTCTACAACAGACACAAGGCAAAACAGAAAATAAAAATCACCTCTAGTACAGTGACAAAACTAATAAATAGACTACTGTGTGTGTGCATGTATGTGTATGCGTATGAATCAAAATGAATGACTTCCAGCTACTGTGACGCTCTCACCGCCTCCGGTGTGAACGCAGTGTTATAAATGCGATACATCAGCCTTCCTGCATCCAAAGTAACCCCCACACCACAGATGTTGACTTTTTTTTTGGCACCAAGTCCTCCCATGCTGAACTCACTGATCACAGTATTCGCAGGCTATTGAGTCTCCTGTTCTCATGCTCTGTTTAGGCGCGCTGCGCTGTGATTGGATTGAATGGCATATTGCTGGAAAATCGTGCTGTTGGGCGGTTTACAAATCGCGCATGTCCAAATTACCATTTCGATTTCAATTAATCGCACAGCCCTAATTTCAATTGAGGAAGAATAAAAAGATCTTTTGGTTGGAAAAAAAGCTTCGGGGAATATATTTTTATAATAATAATAATAATAATAATCAATAAATAAATAAAACAATAGCTGTTTTGGTTGAAAAAAGGTTTGGGGAAATATTTTAATAATAATAATAATAATAATGATAAAAATATTAATAATTTAAAAATAAACTAAATAAACGCTTTTTTGGTTAAAAAAGCTTGGGGAAATATTTTAGTAATAATAATAATAATTTAAAAATAAATAAAATAAATGCTTTTTTGGTAAAAAAAAGACTTGGGGAAATATTTCAATAATAATAATTGAAAAATAAATCAAATAAAAGCTGTTTTGGTTGAAAAAAGTTTGGGGAAAATATTTTAAAAATAATAATAATTATTATTAATATTAATAATAATAATTATTATTATTAAAAAAAGAAATCAAAGCTTTTTTGGTTGACAAAAAGCTTGGGGAAAACAGTTTAATAATAACAATAATAAATAAATAAATAATCCTATTAACAAAATAAATAAAGGTTCATTTGATGAAAAAAGCATGGGGTAAACATGCATTGATCATTTTGATAATAACAATAATATATGTTTATAGTTTGAGTGCTACTTCTAATACAATTAATAATAATAATAAAAATAATAATTTTAAAGTGTATATGTGTTTTGTTTTTTTAAAAATTGAAATTGGGAAAAAATATAAAATAATTCAGATTTACCTAGGGCGAATTATTCTGACTTCATCTCTTTATGTCAAAAATGTTTAGCATACAAATGAATTACTATTGTTACTCTAAATGTTAGACTGTAATATATAAATATATACTTTAGCAGTTCTGCTGTAGTGAATGTGTGTTACTATTATCTTGCACAGAGTTTCCCATGAGTTATGAATGATCCTCCATCTGTATCTCTGTCTATTTTGACTGCAGTTTGGTTCAAAGTGAAGCTCCACATTAAGGACCCAAAGACGGTGTTGGATAAGAAGCGTTATGTGGCCTTCTGGCTGGAACGTTATGCCAAACGCGAGCCAGGGATGCCGCTGACCGTCGTGTTCGACATGTCAGAGTCTGGACTCAGTAACATAGTAGGTTTTTATATATCAGATCTACACTGTAAAATCAGCTTATATTGTAAACAAAGCTTCTGATGATGTAATAGGATGGATAAGCCCCACCTCCAAAAAAAGATCCACTCCCACTTTTACAGCACTGACTGTTTAGCTCTGTTAATATGCAAAACTGTCAGCCAATCAGAGCAGTGGGCATTTACCTATGTAAATCTACAGTTGACCACGCCCACTCAAACTGATGAGGCTCAAAAACAGCACAGAAAATAGTCAATTACTCCCAAATTGTGATGTTTTTAATGTAATAATCTTGATTACATTATGAGTGGGTGTCTGAGAATATACGAACTGTATTTCATGATGCCTTTAAATAAGTGTAGAGGCTTCTGATTCGCATATAATATGATTGATTACGGCTAGTCTTGCATCAATAATCATTGCTATTCCAATTAGATATCATTGCTAGACCAATCTGATTAATTAGTCCCCCCCCCCCTCACCCTATCTCCCCCCTTTCCTCCTTTACCAGGGTGTGCTCTCGAGCTCTACCTGATCTCGAACCCTGTAATGCTACATGACCTGGCAGGAACCCTGGGCTCAAGTATCTCCGAGCTCAGGGTTCTCTTCCGGGACAGCAAGCCAAATCTGCAACTTATATCAAGCGATAGCTAAGTGTGAACTCTTGGAACATTATTAAATAGTAAAAAAATACATGGAAGCATTTAATTGATTGGTTTTACACCAAAATAATGTTAATTAAAAATTAATAAATATTTGAATAAATCATCTTCCTGAGGCACACTGTCAGAGTCCAATATAATAGTTCAGAATTAGTTTTCACACTTTTCTTTTTAAGGTCACAAGAGTGCATGGCTGTATTTCCCCATAAACCCACGAAGACATAAATTAGGCTGGTTGTGCATTTCTCTGATTAGTTTTGGGCCATAATTGACCCTCCGGCAGACATTTAAAGGTCATTAGCTGTGTGAGTGGAAGGTGCAGAGGGACAGGCGCCGTTCACTGCTTTAACACTTTGCAGATTAGCATGGCCTTTAAATCCCTTTGGTCAATCCAACCCGCTTGCTTAATCCCAGAGAATTTCCAGTCAAACGGCAAATCTCCTCGTCTCATGATTCTGCCGCAGAAACGCGGGTGTTTTAATGCTGCCGGAAGGCCAAAGCCACAGCCTAATCAAACCTAATGCCAGTTTTATATGGAGGAATTAGAGTTTGCTTTAATTTGCTCTCTTTAATGCTCGTCTGATTGCTTCTGCGTGTTTATAATGTGAAGGACAGTCGTCTGTATTATGGAGATCTGCTTTGATTGGATGTATCTCAACTAAAATAACATGTTTCTTGAGTTCAAGTTTGATTTAAAGCTTGCTAGTTAAGGGAGGTTTTGTTTCTTTTACTTTTATACATGTATTTTATTTGAGCTTTGCGTGTTTATAATGTGAAAGACAGTCGTGTGGAGGTGTCTGTATTATGGAGATCAAATTTTTAAAATCACAAGATCCATTTAGAGTGATGGCATTAAATTTGGTACATTTATTGGAAAAAGTCCAATAAATTTTAGCATCTCTACCTAAAACCCTCTAGCGCCACCATTAGCTCAAATGGTGACTTTTTGTGTGTGGTTGTAGCTCTTTACATATGATACATATGAAATGTGGGCACATTTTCGGGCACTTTATAATGTGAAGGACAGTCGTGTGGAGGTGTCTGTATTATGGAGATCTGCTTTAACTGGATGGATCTGAACTTAAATGAAATGTTACTTGAGTTCAAGTTTGATTTGTGCTTGTTAGGTTTAGTTTTATTTTTTATTTACTTTTATTTATGCATTTTTTTGAGCTTAACATTTCACAATCTGTCCTGTGTTGAATTTTGGATATCCCAATAACTATTTAGAGTAATGGAATAAAGTTTGGTATATTTATTGCAAAGCATCTACTGATTATTTGCACCAGTTTTAGCATCTTTACCTGAATCTCTCTAGCGCCACCATGAGTTCAAATGATTACTTTTTTCATATCTTTAGATTTGATTCATTTCAGAATTGTGGGCACATTTTCAGGCACTTTATAATAAGGACAGTCGTGTTTCTGTATTTTTAAGATCTAATTTTTGATATCACAAGAACCGTTAATAGTAATGGCTTTAAATTTGGTACATTTATTGGGAAGGGTCTCATTATTTGCACCAATTTTAGCATCTCTACCTAAAACCCTCTAGCGCCACCATCAGTTCAAATAGTTACTTTTTTGTAATAACTTTTAGCCCTTTACATATGATTCATTTCAGAATTGTGGGCACATTTTCAGGCACTTTATAATGTGAAGGACAGTCGTGTGGAGGTGTCTGTATTATGGAGATTTTCTTTAACTGGATGGATCTGAACGTAAATGAAATGTTACTTGAGTTCAAGTTTGATTTGTGCTTGTTAGTTTTAGTTTTATTTTTTATTTACTTTTATTTATGCATTTTTTTGAGCTTAACATTTCACAATCTGTCCTGTGTTGAATTTTGGATATCCCAATAACTATTTAGAGTAATGGAATAAAGTTTGGTATATTTATTGCAAAGCATCTACTGATTATTTGCACCAGTTTTAGCATCTTTACCTGAATCTCTCTAGCGCCACCATGAGTTCAAATTATTACTTTTTTCATATCTTTAGATTTGATTCATTTCAGAATTGTGGGCACATTTTCAGGCACCTTATAATTGATATCACAAGAACCGTTAATAGTAATGGCTTTAAATTTGGTACATTTATTGGGAAGGGTCTCATTATTTGCACCAATTTTAGCATATCTACCTAAAACCCTCTAGCGCCACCATCAGTTCAAATGGTGACTTTTTGTATTAACTCTTAGCCCTTTACATATGATTCATTTCAGAATTGTGGGCACATTTTCAGGCACTTTATAATGTGAAGGACAGTCGTGTGGAGGTGTCTGTATTATGGAGATCTGCTTTGACTGGATGGATCTGAACGTAAATGAAATGTTACTTGAGTTCAAGTTTGATTTGTGCTTGTTAGTTTTAGTTTTATTTATATTATTAACATTTCACAATCTGTCCTGTGTTGAATTTTGGATATCCCAATAACTGTTTAGAGTAATGGAATAAAGTTTAGTATATTTATTGCAAAGCATCTACTGATTATTTGCACCAGTTTTAGTATCTTTACCTGAAACCCTCTAGCGCCATCATGAGTTTAAATGATGACTTTTTCGGATGATTGTAGCTCTTTACATATGATTCATTTCAGAATTGTGCGCACATTTTCAGGCACTTTATATTGTAAAGGACAGTCGTGTGTCTGTATTATCAAGATCTAATTTTTTTAATCAAAAGATCCATTCAGAGTGATGACATCAAATTTGTTACATTTATTGGGAAGGGTCTCATTATTAATTGCAACGATTTTAGCATCTCTGCCTGAAACCCTCTAGCGCCATCAGTTCAAATAGTTACTTTTTTGTATTAACTCTTAGCTCTTTACATATGATTCATTTCAGAATTGTGGGCACATTTTCAGGCACTTTATAATGTGAAGGACAGTCGTGTGGAGGTGTCTGTATTATGGAGATCTGCTTTGACTGGATGGATCTGAACTAAAATTAAATGTTACTTGAGTTCAAGTTTGATTTGTGCTTGTTAGGTTTAGTTTTATTTTTTTCTTTTCTTCATTCAATTTGTTTAGCTTAACATTTCACGATCAGTCCTGTTTTAATTTTTGAAAAACCATTTAGAGTAATGGCTTGAAATTTAGTACATTTATTGCAAAGAGTCTACTTATTATTTACACTAATTTTAGCATCTCTGCCTAAAACCCTTTAGCGCCATCATGAGGTCAAATGATGACTTTTTTTGGATGATTGTAGCTCTTTACATTTGATTCATTTCAGAATTGTGGGCACATTTTCCGGCACTTTATAATGTAAAGTGTGTATAATGTATAATGTCGTGTGTCTGTATTATCGAGATCTAATTTTTGAAATCACAAGTACTGTTTAGATTAATGGCTTGAAATTTGGTACATTTACTGCTAAGGGTCTGCTCATTATTTGCACCAATTTTAGCATGTCTACCTAAAACCCTCTAGCGCCACCATCAGTTCAAATGGTGACTTTGTATGATTGTAGCTCTTTACATATGATTCATTCTAGAATTATGGGTATATTTTCAGGCATTTTATAATGTGAAGAACAGTCGTGTCTGTATTATGGAGATCTGTTTTTATTGGATATATCTAAACTAAAATCAAACATTTCCTGAAGTTGATTTGGACTTGTTAAGTTTTGTTTCTTTGAGCTCTACGTTTCAAGATCCCTTCTGGCTTTAATTTTTGATATCCCAAGAAACATTAGGAGTAATGGCATAAAGTTTAGTATATTTATTGCAAAGCATCTACTGATTAATTGCACCAATTTTAGCATCTCTGCCTGAAACCCTCTAACACCGTCATCAGTTTAAATGATGACTTGTTTTTATAATTGTAGCATTTTAGATATGATTCATTTCAGAATTGTGGGCACATTTTCAGACACTTTAGAGTGAAGGACAGTCGTGTGGAGGTGTCTATTATGGACATCTGCTTTGATTTGATGTATCTGAACTAAAATTAAATGTTTCTTATTTCATGAAATGTGATAGATTTATTGCAAAGTGTCTCCTTATTAATTGCACTAATTTTAGCATCTCTGCCTAAAATCCTCTAGCGCCACCATGAGTTCAATCGATGACGTTATTTGCATGATTGTAGCTGTTTATTTATGATTTGTCTACTTATGATTCATTCTAGAATTGTGGGTATATTTTCAGCTATTTTATAATATGAAGAACAGTCGTGTCTGTATTCAGGAGATCTATTTTAACTGGATATATCTGAACTAAAATTAAATGTTTCCTGAGATCAAGTTTGCTTTGTACTTGTTAAATTGTTTCTGTAAGCTTAACGTTTCACGATCAGTCTTGTTTTAATTTTTGAAATCCCAAGAACCATTTAGA